GCGCCCGCGCGATGCTCGCGCCGCCTCGCGCTGCAAGGAATCATCGATCAGCGCCGAGCCATCGCGAGGCTTCCAAAGGCACACCGCGCTAAATGTTTAACTGGGCAGCAGTGTTTGTTCGGAACGGGACCAAGCCCTGAGGGGCGAGCGCGGACCTGCAATTCCCTGCCCGGCAACGCCGGCAATGAGAGCCGCCGAGCTCGCGCGCGCCATAACCATTGACGGAATCACCAGCCTCAAGCTCTGCGGACGCGCTGGCATACGTCGGTTCATCTCGCTTCTGCCCGCGCCCAACAAGGAACTCAGCGCGCGCCCGTCAGGGGGCTGCCGCGGACCGCGGCCCTCGACACTCTGCAGAGGCGCGGTGGGTTCGGTCCCGATTGGCTGGTAAGCACTGACTTCCTTCTCCCTCACCACGAACTCCCCGAGACCCGCCGCGGCAAGAGCTGAACGATGCGCCTCCACCCCCTCCTCCGTCTTGAACCGCCTCCTCTCACGACAACGGCCCGCTACGGTAAGAGACTCGAGATCCCAGGAGCTCTCAGATATTCCGCATCCGCTTTCTGAGGCATCCGAACACTGCACCCACCGATTATATGGCAACCACAAATAAAAAACGATCATATGAAGCAAGCCTCGGAATGCAAGCAGCTCCTCGCGACAGCTTTCCCGCAGAGAGGCTGCCTCTTTCTGCATTTTCGTGACAAACCTGTAGCGTGCATGGAATGCCGAGAGCGCGGGCCTGCGGGCAAGCCCTATGTAGGTACAATGGCCCAACAGTGCTCGCAGGTCATCTCCTCGCACCTTTCGAAGCTGCAGAAGGCCAGCGATCCCCTGTCTCACTCTCCAGAGCCTCTTCATCGAAGGTCGAGTCTGGTAGCCGTTGCCGTCAAGTACCACCCCCACTGCCTCGATGCCGTTACTCTGGGCCTCTCGTCCATGGACCTTGAGCCCTACCGCCTCGAACGCTTGGATCAGCTGGTCCAGACTGCGGCTGGCGAGCTCTCCATTCTGGCCGATCACGCCCATGTTGTCCACGTAGACGTAGTGGTCGACCTGCTCGGTGCCACGCGCGAGGCGCAACACCAGCGGCTTACCAAGGTCGCTCAGAGAGGTACCATCCTTCAGACAGGGTGCAAGCTGACACCGGAGCTCCGTCACGCTCTGGCAGAAGTACAGGCTCCACGTGCACCCCATCGGCAGCGCCTCAGGAATCGGGTAGACCACATCGTCGTAGCTCAGCATGTGGCCGTCCAGCACGGTGCCCTGCAAGCCAGCATCTCCTGCCTTCCGCGCGGGAAGTCCGAAGAGCCGCTTCATCCAGGGCGGCAGCCGCATGGGGCGGAAGGCATCCTTCACGTCCGCCACCCCGACCGAGAACTCCACGTCCTGCAGCGTCGCCTGGCGGGCTGCCTGCAGGTGGTCGGACGCCCCCTCGATCTCCTCGAACTCAAAGGCTGAGGGCCCTTCCGCGGTCAAGAGCTGGACGGACGGTGGGTCTATCAACCAAGCATTGCTTCTGCGGCAGTCCAGAATCATGCGCGATGACGCCCCCCCTTCTTCCACGCAAAGAAGAAACCCACCATCTCCAAGACCTGAAGCGTAAACGACACCAAGCCGCGCCCAGCAAGGTCCCTGACAAAATCGCGATAACGTCGTCGGCTCCGTACCAACGATGGCTCGCTGAAGGGGATCCGTGGGCATCGCTTCAATGCCTCAACCACTCCAGTATGGTCTCGCAACATGCGCTCGCCCTGCCCTTTCCACAAACTGGCGCGCTCGTCCCCGATGTAGCTCGCGAAGCGCTGGGGCCTCGGCTACAGTGTCAGGGAGCGACGGAAGCCCAAGACGGAAAGGGGCAAGCACATCCTCAGGAGGACCACCCAGGTACGGTGACCTCCCACGCATCAACTCTCGCAACGCTGAATACGGCGACTGCATCCTGACGCCACGCATCGGCTGCACGATGTTGCCCACCTGCCCTTCGATGCGCTGCATGACGTCGAGCTGCATGGTTGAAGAGAGCTCCGTGGAAGACCCCGCGTCAGCTCCCGCCAACCAATTAAGGCTCTGGGTGGCCTCGTTCACGAGTTGATCCCGAAGTTGCTGCCGACGCCGACGCCCTCGCTGACGTCCAGTTGCAGCCGAGCCCGCTGCCGCCTCCTTCTCAGGCAGAGGGAAGAGGTCGCGAGCTCCAGCCCCAGGTTCAAGCCCAGGTAGCCCATCATGAGTGAAACTGCTGGGTGGGCCAAGCCCAGCAGTCAAGCCGACCGTCGTCATTGGCCGCCCCCCGACGCGGCCGCGTCGAGGAGCTTCTTGGTCTTGTCCTTCGGATTCCCAGAGTCGCCCTTGCCGTCGCCCATCTCGGCCCATGGCTTCTCGGCAGTCGTGGGCCCACGTGCGCGGGCGCTCAGGTAATCCGCGTCCTCCTCTGCCCGTCGTGCCCCGGAACTGCGAATCTCAGGCGCCACCACATCGCTCGGTCCCGATTCTCCAGTCAGACATCGCGCCATGCGCCAGTTGGCGCGAGCGCCTGGCACCGAGTGCGCGTCCGTGATCACCTGGGCTCGGCGTGCCAGGCGCTCCATACATCGCAGAGCGCCCAGGTTCAACCGGTCATGCGTCCCCGCTAGCAGCAGCACGTGGCAGAGAACCTCCAGTTCATGGTAGATGCGGCCCTGACGCTCTACGCGGTGTTCCCGAGTCCACTCCGCAATCCACTCCATGGGGCCCCCGCCGTTCCTGCACATCGTCTTCGCCAAGAACGCAACCGACACGGGGCCCTCAATCGGGTCATCAGCATACGACTCGGCCGTAATCTCATTCACGACGGTGCGCCAATATTTGCGCCGTTCTCCTTGTCCATCAAGATCCACGCTCAAGGTGCGAATATCGTCGGCGGCCTTCACCGCCGTCTGGGTCTCATGAACCGGAGGCCCACTGGCAGCACCCGCACCTCCGAGGCCCAGGCGATCCTTCACAGCATCTTCGATCGCGGCCCCCCCAGGCGGGGTGCGTGTGCCCAGCGCAGTCTGCAGATGGCTGAGCTGCTCTTCCGCACGTTGGGGCGCTTGGCCGATCGGTAACCTCATCACTCTGCAGACCTCCTCACCGAAGTACTTCAGGCCGTGGCTCCCCGCGATGGTGCCTCCGACATGCATCTTGACCTCTTCCCCGATCGCGTGGCCTCCCCCTGGCTCCATCAGCATCCATATTCGGTTGGTACCCGTCTCTCTTATCGTCAGCAGCCCCGCATCATCCGTGTCGCCACGCATCGCGGAGACCAGCTCGCCTCGGTGCCTCTCGCTATTCATAGTGAAGCGCGGCCAGTCAGATTCCCCCTGACCTCGCGCTGCCTCAATGTCACGGCGCCCTCGGCCGTAGGCAAGGATCGCCTCGAGCGAGGGCAGCTCAGAGAACTTGTGCAGCCTCCTGCTTCCGCGCGGCGGGCAGCCCACCTCAGGCAGTGGCCGAGAGCCGCTTGGCCCATGCTCGGGGTCACCTCCGTCTAGCTGCCCCTGCCAGAGGTCGCCGTCGGGCGAGAGGACCCACCACATACTTTCTTCAACAGCATTGCCGCTGGCGTCGGTCCGTCGCGATGGCCAGATCAAAACTCCCTCGTGGTCCACTATGTCGTCGCTGCAGCTCACGCGGGCCCTCGAGCCCACGGGGGCTCTATTCCAGTAGCCCTGTTCCCCCGCGCCGAGGCGCAACGGCGCGCCCCCTCCTGCCATCGGCCTCGCCCTGAGCCGCGGCGCGGCGTCGCTCTGCACGCCAGCCCCAGGCCGCGCCGCCCACCAGCTGGCCCAGCAGCCACCAGGGCGGCCCCGCACTCACAGCGGGCCCCCGAGGCTCCTCGGGCGCTGGGCACACGGGCGCCTCTACCACAGGGCAGCTCGGCGGCTCCCAGAGTGGCTCCGCCAACTCCTCCGAGGCCCGCGGAGGTGGAGGAGGCGGCGGACCCGCCGCCGCAGTGCGATCCAGCTCCTCCAGCGCCAGCCAGGGAGAGCGGTCCACGCTATCGAAACCGATGTGGGCCAACTGTAGCCAGAGAACCAGCCACAGAGGCAGGTTCGGAGGGGCGTGAACCATGCCTCCTCGAACCAAGTCGGCTTCGGAGATGCAGCTGCAAGAAAGGCGAGCACGCGGGGGCTGGCAACTGCTGCTGCTAGTCTAAGACACGACATCCCACTCCTCTCCAATCATGTCCGTGCACGCACCCCCATCATCATCATCAGCATCATCATCATCATCATCATCATCCTCATCATCATCATCGGCATCATCATCATCATGATGGTGTCCGTTTCGACCCACCCCTGGAATGTTTTGCTAAGGAGGCGAGAAGTACAATAAAATTGCTGCTTGGCTTGCTAACTGCAGGTTTGCCGCCGAGCTCTGGCTCGGCGGGGGACGGTGGGGGGGTCGCGATAATCTGTGCCAGATTGGAGCCAAATGGTACGGTTGCGGAGCAGGCCGTGCAGCACACGCGAGGGCAGGAGGGCCTTCACGGGCAACCAAAACACAACCTACCGAGCCCACCCGTTTTGGAGGGCCGAGGGGAGCCAGGCCGGGAACTTGGCCCTCCGGCGAAAAGGCCCCCCAACACGCTGGCACGCCCCTGCGGGCTCCGAGGCTCCAAGGAAAATTCCACGATCCCACCCCAAACTGTCGGTCCACATCAACACTCATGCTCTACGATTATTATCCCATGATGGTGTCCGTTTCGACCCACCCCTGGAATGTTTTGCTAAGGAGGCGAGAAGTACAATCAAATTGCTGCTTGGCTTGCTAACTACAGGTTTGCCGCCGAGCTCTACCCACCTCCGCTTGCGAGCTGTATGTGTCTCAACAGCTTGGTCCTTCACCCGGGGCACAAAGTGTGCTCGGACCGTGAATGAGTTGAGAAGGGAACTTGGAACACAATCAAAACCGAAAGCAAGCCCCCTTGGCCGGCCCTCGCAGTGTGTTCCAGAAGAATTATATCTTCGGTGACCACCCTAAACTCCGAACAAAACGAGCTGCAGGACACTCTTTACTGCCATATATACAGCACGAACGAGCCTACGGGCCATGTTGATCCAGGCGCCTGGGAGCCTAGCAGCCTGGATTTCACGATCAGTCATGGACATATAGCGGATCTCAGGGAGCGGGAGCCCGGCCAGGGTGGAGTTGATATGAGCCACGACTGTATCTCTTTCTGAACTGATGTCGCAGTCGAGGCTACTCCACACCGGGTTACTCCACTGAACGGTGAAGTTGACGATCCTCTCGACCATATGGACTCCGTAGAACCCGGAAGGCAGCAAGTCGAGCGTCATGTGCAGCTCGCGGTACTGACCGGGCCAGATCAGCATCTGCCAGCTCTCTGCCATGTGGGGTATGGTCACCGAAGCCTCAGAGATCGCGGTGGCGACCTGCTCGGCCCCAGGCGGGCGGGGCTCGCCTGACAGGAACTCGCGCTGGATCCAGTCTTGCAGGATCTCGGGGTCGTCCGCTAGCCGCTCGGCGTGGCGCTGGCGGACGTGAAGGTCGGTGATGTCCACTCCGCGCCAGGCCTCCTGCAGGAGGCTCGCCGAGCTGCGGGGCGACGTCGCGGCGAAGTCGGACGCGCCTTGCGCAGCCGTGATGACTGCCCCGAGGCTGCTGTCGACCACCTTGCCAGCCGAGACGGACACGCTGGCCACGACGCCCATCATGGTCCCGAGGTGGGCGAGCGGCCCGGCAACGTAGAGCCACCCGATCATCAAGGCGGCGACCGCCGCCCACGTCACTCCTCGCGAGGTTGAGCGTCCGCACCACCTCGCGATGAGCCAGGCCGCGCGCAGCAGCGACCAGCTGCTCCAGCGCGCGCGCCTCTGCCCCGCGGCCGCGCCCGCTGCCAGCGGCTGCGCCACCAGCGGCTGCGGGGGCCTCAGTGCTGCCGCGCCAGGGGCCGCTGGCGCTGGCGCCTCGGCCTCGACCACGCCCGCGCCCGCCGCTGCATCCCCCGGCTGCTGCGGACCCGCCAGCAGCCCATCCACCAGCGCGCCCAGTGCTGGCGCAGGCGGCTGGGCTGGCGCTGCCCGGGGCGCTGGCGAGGCCACCCGGCGGCCCCCCGCCAGCGGCGCCGGCGGGACTCCCTGCGCAGGCAGCACCCAGGCGCCGTCCTGGCCCTTGCGCCAGCCCGCTGGCGGCATGCTGGATGCCCTCGCCCTCGCCGAAGATGCCCTCCGGGAAGTAGTTGGGCAGCTTCTCGGCCGCCTCGCGGATGAGCGGGGCGATCCCTCGCTGCTCAGCCTGTGCCAGGACCCGGGAGGCGGTGACAACGTCCACGTAGATGCGGAGGCTGGACTCTGTGAGCCACCGCCCCGCCTCCTTGATGTCCTGGAAGGGGGCACCACGAGCCACGGAATCGCTGGCGAACCCTGCGCGCGCCGAGTGAGGCGTCCAGTGAATGTCGAGGCCCAAGGCTGCTTCAAACTGCTTGAGCCGATGCCTGTAGTCGACGAGCGAATAGGGAAAGAGGAGCCCCTCGGGCGGCGTTCCCAAGACTACTCGGTGTAAGAGGTTCTCCAGCACTCCGCCCTGCTCCAAAATAATGGCGAACTGCATCCTTTTGGCCTTTGTCCCCGACTTGGCCCCCAGGTTGATAACCCAATTAGGCTGCAGATCAGGTCCCCCTCTAGACGATGGCAAGGATATGTCTTTTGCTCTAAGCTGAAGCATCTCCGATGGGCGCAAGCCGCGGTCCACCTGCAGCAGCAGGCCTACGCCCAGCCGCGGCACGCCCCAGCAGGATAAATAGATGGCGGCCAGGTTAGCCGGCGCGCGGCCCAGCGGCGGCGCGTGCTTCACCTCAGCCGACACTCGCCATGCGTCGATCACTGAGTGGGACCACGTCAGCTTCCTCCTCAGGCGTGGGAAGACGAACTCCACCGCCGCGACGGCGTACTCAAAGTTGCACTTGGTCATCTGCATGTCGTTCTTGTACTCGACAAGCAGGTCGTCCCACTGCTCGGGCCCGTCGGGGACGAAGCCGTGCTCGTCCAGGTAGGTCACGAACTTCATAGCCGCCGCCCTGTAGGCCGCCAGGGTGTGCGGCTTAACCTTCTCAACAGAAGTGCTGTCCAGCTTCCTCGGCCCCGACATGAGGTAGGCCGCGGAGCTCAGCACGAGTCAGGCACCTCGATATCTTATCAGCAGGCTGCCTGAGCGTCTCCACCCATGGAATCAAAATCTTTGTGCGAGATGCCATTCCTGCTGCGGTCTTCTGACGCAACAGGTGGTTCAAAAGGTGCGCCGGGGACCTGCCCTTGCTTACCGCACCTGAGACGGGCTGGTTGTCCTCCAGGATCGGCAGCACGGTGCGGTGAAGGGCAGGAGTGGCGGCCGCCAGCCTGCTGATCTTCACGACGCAGCGCCCCTCGCCCAGCGTGATGCGGTCGGCCGACCGCCACCTGCCCGCTCCTACGATCGTCCAGTCCTCGTCGGGCTTGAACACGCGATCGGGCAGGAGGCTGAAGGGCTTCGTCCGTCTGATGACCTGCTCGGGGCGCCGCAATCCAGTGAGCTCGCCGTCCAGCCTCGCCACGGTGTAGCCCAAGTTGCCGCCCGTGTCGATGAAGTCCTTCGCGATGTCCTCGCTCATGTCGGTCACCAGGATCCCCCAGCCGCCGTCGTCCTCCACGTTGGCGCCCATGGCGTCCGCCGCGAAATACACGGGCGCTGGCGGGGCTCCCAGGTCAGCGTACATCAACGGGACTACCCTAGCCATGGCCCGCAGCTCCCTGCGGACGGTCGCCCAGGTGCTCACCCGCTGGTGCGGGTACCTCTCCAGGAGCCTGAAGACGGCGCTGGGTATGCAGAGCAGCTCGCGCCGCAGCAGTGCGCCCCAGATCCACACCCCCAAGAGCGAGCGCAGCTCCTCGGTGTGGAGGGTGCGGGTGGCGCCCATCGCCTCCAGCTGCTGCACCAGCTCCCGTGCCCTCTTCGGAGGCAAGCGCAGCTGCGCTGGACGCGCCTGTGGTGCGTAGCCCAGCACCTTCTGCATGTCGCTGGCCTCCGTGCGGTCGGTGACCACGAAGCCGGCCTCGGCCAAGGCGTCCGCCAGCTGGTGCATCTTCCCAGTGGCCCGTGGGCCGCAGCCGCTGCCCCCCGCCATCGCCGCGCCGTCGTCGACGTGCAGGTAGAAGGCCATCTGCGGCCCGTCCAGCACCAGCCCGCGGCCGCGAAGCACGTCCTCGTTCCGCACGGCCACCGCTGGTGCCGTAGTGCTCCGCGAGCCCCATGCTGTGACCGCCCTGTCGGCCTCTGGCGGCCTTCGCCACCCGGTGCCGCCCAAGCCGGTCTGCTCGAAGATGGCCAAGGTCCGGACAATCAAGATGCCCAGCGACTCGCACATCCTCTCGGGGTACTGGGCCAGCGGGCTCGTGCGGAAGGTGCCGTCGGCCAACTTGCCCTCGGCCGACTCGTGGACGTGGGACCCGTCGCACCGCAGCTCATTCAGGTCCTCCAGCCCCTGCAGCGTGCCGCTCAGGCATGTGGGCTTCTTCGTCCGTCCGCCCAGCATGCACTGGTCCAAGCACGCTCTCCGAGACGAGCGCCTCGTCCCGAAGTCCAGCATCTCATTCGCGTTCCAGATGGATGGGTAGGGCGCGTGCCCTGGGTCCTCCGGGTGCTCGATGAGGAAGGCGCCGCCACTCTGACCGCACGCCTCGCAGAGCGCCAACAAGTTTAGCGTCAGGGTGTTACTTTCCGCGACTCTCGCGGCCTCCCAGGCCTTGAGACCTGGCAGACCCAAGGGGCACAGCCGCGAGCGCGCCGGCGGCGGGCCAGGTCGGCGACGATTGTAGCGCGCCCGCGACCAGGTCGAACAGGGCGGGCCGCCCAGCACGATGTCCACCCAGCCGCCCTCGCACAACTCCATCAAGGCGGAGAAAGTGGAGGGGTTGGCCAGGTTTCACCGCGGGTCGTCCAGGAGATCGGCGGAAAGGAAGAGCACCCTCAAGTTCCGCTCCTTCGCCAGCCTCTCTACCACCTCCTGAACGTCACCACGCCGCCGACGGCCAGCGAAGAGATGCATCACCACCATCACCCGCTCGTCCGCTCTCTTCGCCCGCTTCACGGCCTCTGTCCACTCTGCCACGCTGTTGCCCGCCGGGCTAGGCGGCGCGGCGCGGCAGCTGGACTGCTGTCCGAGCCAGTCGTCGTCGTAGCGATGCTGCTGAGCGTCCTCAGGTCCGGCATCCACGCAGTCGCCATCCTCCAGCCCCCCGTCCTCGGGCGGCGAGGTGCGTGGCACACCGCTGGCAGCGCCGTCGGCGGGTGCCGCGGCGCCCGCAAGCGCCCCCAAGCGTGCGCCCACGCCCAGCAGCGCCCTGCCAATGATCGCCATGTTGACCGTCATCAGCAGGTGCACGGAGTGCGAGCCGCCCATGGCCAGGCGATGGTAGCAGGGGGCTATCCAGCCCGTCGGCCCCACCATGTCGCGCAGGCGCTGGCTGAGCTTCGCCCACACCCAGCAGGCGCGGATCGGCGGGCATGCCTGCCACTTGGCCATCCAAGCGGGGACGCGGAGGCGGGTGAAGGCGTTGTCCTCGTCGAACGCCGCCACGCCCCACTCGTCCGTCGGGGCGCACATGGAGGCGATGGCCGCCCCGCCGTGCATCCCGCGGTCGCCGCGCTGGTGCGGGTCGGCCCACACGTAGTTGCTGGCGCACATCATCAGGACCTTCCTCTGCTTGGCGGGGTCCTTCTTGGGCACGCAGCTGAACCCGCAGTAGGCCTGGACGTCGCAGGGGGCCTCGAACGTCCACATGTCCTTCGGCAAATCGTCCCGCGTCAAGTAGCGGGCGTATTCGGACGTCGAGCCCCCCACGAAAGCGAAACGTTCCTCCAGCCCCTCGAAGATGACCCCTGACTTGCCGCTGTAGTCCAGCACGTTCCGCTCGTCCGAATAATACTGGCGCTCGCCGTCGGGCAGCGCCTCCAGCAGGTCCACGACCATGTCATCAGGCGGCTCTGCCACCGCCGCTGCGCACATCGTCACGTGCCTGCTCACACCCTTGCGCTCTCCAGTGTAGGCGTCCTGCGGTCATCTGTCGCAGGCAAGATCCGCCCCTTGACCGCCTGTCGGGGCAAGCCCCCGGCAGTCGCGCTCGTACCGCGCCGCGTCCTGTAGCGCGTACTGCTGCACGAGCTGCCAGGCCAGCATCATCTCGTCGTCGCTCGACTCGCGCTGGCCCGCTGGTCTCGCCTCCAGGGATCCGCGGTCCATCCCATTCATGAGCTCGATGAGCCCGCAGGCCCGACGCCACGCACGCATGCGTCGAGCCCGGCGCGTCCTCAACCTGCCGGAAGAGGACGCTCCTTGTTGTGGCCGATGAGGTAGAGGAATGGGAAAGAACGACCGGGCCTCGGCCTCCTTCCACTGCAGGGCCCGCGTCAGCGAGCCAGGCGAACCCATCACTGGCATTTTAGGCTGCACCCGCGGCGGCGGGGCACCTTCTCGGACCGAGGGAGGGTCGTAATCCCCTCGGTCCGCCAGTGACCGTCAGGCCTGGGGCTTGCCTCGGCCTGAGGGCTTACCCCCTCGGCCGCGGCCGCGCCCCCCGCCGTCGCCACCTCTGCCTCTGCCGCCACCAGCTGCCTCGGCGCCGCTGCCAGCGCCACCTCCGTGTCCCCCGCCACGGCCGCCGCCTCGGCCGTCGCGCTTGCTGGCGGCGTGGACCCTCTCGTCGCGCTGGTGCTCAGCCTTGCTGTGGGTCGTGGCCTCGGTCACCAGCCAGGTGGGGGCCAAGTCGGCGGCCGACCCGGGCGGGCGAACAGCCAACATTGCCGCCGCCCCCACCTTGTCCTTCGTCCGCATCTCGTAGACGTAGCTCGCCAGCCGCCTCAAGTGCAGCTCCAGCGCGTCGTCGGACGCCAGGCGGGTGAGCAGCTCGGACTGAGTCTTACACCCGCCCAGCAAGTAGTCCACGTTGGTGGCGGCGGTCCACAGATCGGTCCAGACCGGCGTGTGCCGCTGGCCCGTCACCTCCTGCGACAGCCAGTCGCGTGCGCTGGCCGCCCCCGCTCCCCGCATGGTGCGGTAGATCTCCGGCGCCGCGCGCCTCAGATCCGGCGGGAGGCTCAGGTTCCAGCGGCTGTCCTCTTGCTGCTGCTGGGTCTGCGGGGCCAAGGCCCAACCGGGGGAGGCCTGCATGCCCGCGCCGTGCGGCGCCGTGGCAGAGGAGAGCAGCGCGTCCAGCTCCTGCGGCAGCGACCCTCCTGGCGGGGACTTCGTCCCCGCGCCCACGTAGCCGTGGGTCTGCAGCACTCGTCGCAGGTCAGGGTGCAGCCCCTGGGTACCGTCCACGGCCGCGATTCTCTCCCAGAAGTGCCAGGCCCAGTAAACGTTCGTGGCAGCCTGCGCCTGGAACTCGCGGAGCGTGGCCCCCACCATCTGCACCTCTCGCCCTAGCTTCACAGCATCGGCAGGAGCGTGAGGCGCGTGGAAGCTGAGCCCAGCCGCTGGCACGGCCCCCTCAGGCGGCGGCTGCGGCTGCTGCTGCTGCTGCTGCAGGGCCGCCGTCTGGCTGAAGGGGCCTGGCACCTCGCTCCCCTGGGCGAAAGCCCGCAGCGCCGCCAGGTCCTGCGAGCCGGGCTTCGCCGTCGCGGCAACCGCGCCCGCGCCCTCGGCAGGTGGGGCCCACGGCGGAGGCGGCAGCGCCGCGAGCCCAGGCGGGAGCAGCGGGCCCGTAGGTGCCTCCGCGGTCGCCGCGCAGCTCCCCTTGGGCGTCGGGGCCCCCGGAGCGCCCCAGGCCGCGCCGTCGTCCTCGGCGGCAGCGAGGTCCAGGCCGTCCCCGCCGCTGCTGAGCGCCGCGGCGAAGGCCGAGCGCCGCCTCCAGCGCGCCCACCAGGCGGTCACACGCTCGGGCACGCGCCGCACGAGCAGGGAGGTCCCGCACAGCCCCACTGCCGCGCCCGCCAGGCGGTGCCGCCCGGAGTCGGCCCACAGCACCACCACCAGGCTGGACAGGAAGAGACCGATGCCCAGGTGCAGCACCCAGTCGACGGGCAGCGTGTCCCCGTCCTCGCCGACGGCACGGGCCCAGATCCGGTCCGCGACCTTCTCCCAGCCGTCGGTGTCGGCGGCTACTCGTCGAATCCGACTCTCCGCCTGAGTGGAGAACGTGGCGGCCTCTGTGAACCCCCAGAGGGCCTCGGCCATCTCGGAGCCCGGGACCTCAGGGTTCCCCAAAGCCAGGCGGACGGCCACCGGGTCCAGCGCTGCCTCCAGCCGTCGCGCCTCGTCCAGCTTCGAGCGGGGGGCCCGCCCCGCGTTCAACGTCGATCGCACCTTCAGGACGAGCCCCGCGACGTCGTCGTCTGAGACGTCCGCACCAGCGGCCCGCAGCGCCTCGGTCCCTGCCTTCTTGGCGCCCGCCGAGACCGCCATCCAGCTCCGCCTGGCCGCTGCCGCGCCCTCGGCGCGGGGCGCCCAGCACACCAGCTAGCCGCGGCCTGCTGCACCTGGGCAGCGCCGCCGCGGCCTCGCACGCGTCTTCGATTCCACGGGTGGAGTCCGCTGCTCCCGTCAGGGCGCCATGCCGCGCCCTGCAGCGAGGTGGGCTGGGCGCCCAAACCTCGCGATAATCTGTACCAGATTGGAGCCAAATGGTACGGTTGCGGAGCAGGCCGTGCAGCACACGCGAGGGCAGGGGGGCCTTCACGGGCAACCAAAACACAACCTACCGAGCCCACCCGTTTTGGAGGGCCGAGGGGAGCCAGGCCGGGAACTTGGCCTTCCGGCGAAAAGGCCCCCCAACACGCTGGCACGCCCCTGCGGGCTCCGAGGCTCCAAGGAAAATTCCACGATCCCACCCCAAACTGTCGGTCCACATCAACACTCATGCTCTACGATTATTATCCCATCAGCATCAGCATCAGCATCAGCATCAGCATCAGCATCAGCATCAGCATCAGCATCAGCATCAGCATCAGCATCATCATCATCATCATCATCATCATCATCATCATCATCATCATCATCATCATCTTCTGGGAGGAGCACTGGGAGGAGGGGGCGTGGCTTCGTCATCCCGAGGAAGGGCGAGGGCTAGGTGTGGGTATTCGTGGAGCCCTCAGGCTGCGAGCCTGACTGCTCAGACACACACCAGGTTCTGAGCCCCCTGTGGCTTCGGGAAGAATCTAGAAAACTTCTCAGAAGGCCGGAGGCCTTCTGACCGCTGCCTTACCCCCTGGGCGCCGTCGAGGTTCTAATCCTCCGGCTCCTCCTCCTCCTACTCTGCTCCTGCTCCTGCTCCTGCTCCTCCTTCTCCTCCTCCTCCTTTTCCTCATCATCATGATCCCTTCGGGGTGGCATGCATGCGTTTGTGCTGCCTATTTCATCGTATGTCCCCGCGGCCGCCGCGGGGCCAATTTCTCAAATGCGTGTTCGTTATGATCGAAAGGGGAGGGCATGAAGGGAGTCAAGATGGAGACTCTGCCATACCCATCGGTTGGAAGTAGTGGGTAGAAGCATGACGTAGGAAGGCGTTGGACATGTATTGGGCTTCCGACCGACCAATAAAGAGGAAGAAGGACAGAGAACAGCTTGATTATTGAAATTGGAAGGCACCTCACGTAGACCGAAATCTGGGGATCCAAAAATAACTGCTCTCAACGAACGATGGGTACCGCTGGGATCTTTTTCGCCTGCCTCTTGGCCCGCAGACCCCTTGCCGAGACCACCTGCGCCAGATGCGCTGCTCTTCCGCGACGGCCCAAGAGAGAGCAGCGCGACACGAGGAGCAGAGGGGGCAATCCACGCCTCGCTGAATGACCGGACGCATGACGTGGACCCCTCGGACTCTGTGAGCTCCTCCACCTCCGTGTCGTTCTCGTCCTCAGAGCCACCATCTCCGTAGTCAGGTATCCGATCTG